ATGCGAATGATTTAACCAGCGCTTGAAATGTACAGAAGGGGACCTCTCCCTCTGAGGAGCCTGCTAAGTTTGCTAGCAAGGAGGAGCTCAGGTTCTCATGGCGCTGGGTTCCTGTCCTGAGAACATCGCGAGTCTGAGTGCTCGGACCACTCACCCAGGTCCCCAACTCCCGCTGGGAAAGAGACACCCGTCCATTTGCATCTGCAGACGGTCAGGGTTGGCTGGGAAGGGAACGCTCTGGCAAACGGGTACCGAGCCTTCCCAGCCACTAGCATCTGGGCTGTCTTCCCGAGTCATCGCTGCGACTCTGCAGACGTTCTCACTGAGCCACAGAGGCCTCGATCGCTGTCTTTCTGTTTCCGTAGGTGATTCATTTGGAGAAAATCACGAGTGAAATGGGTGCAGCCTCCCAGGCGAATGTCCGTCTCGCGTCTCTGAAAAAGACACTGGCCACCACTCTGTCCCCCCGCGTCCTGCTGCCGGCCATCAACAAAACCTACAAGCACACCCAGAAGGACTGGAGGGTGAGATCTGTCGGGGTTGGACTTTGGGGCGGGGAGGTGCGGTGCTGACAGGTTCCCCTTCATAATGAACTTGGAGTGTGAAGAACTGGCCCCTCTCTCTGCTGTGTTCCTGGTAGAACCACATGGGTCCGTTTATGAGCATCTTGCAAGAGCACATCGGGGTCATGAAGAAGGAAGAGCTCACCTCCCATCAGTCTCAGCTCACCACGTTTTTCCTGGAGGCCCTGGACTTCCGGGCACAGCACCCTGAGGTCAGCTTAGAGCCACTCCCCCCAATCCTGAACGCACCTGCTGAGCGCCAGACCAAAGCTAGCTGTGAGCTGTTCTACTGGCCAGAAGTATGTAAAGCTGGATGTCAGAACTCTGCCTAATAAAACAGCTCTTTTGTTTTCAGAATGATCTGGAAGAAGTTGGAAAAACAGAAAACCATATCATCGACTGCCTGGTAGCTATGGTTGTCAAACTTTCCGAAGTCACATTCAGACCTCTGTTTTTCAAGGTGAGCTTGCTTCCGCCCTGTCTGCTCTGTGCTCCTCTCAGTAACAAGATGTGTAGAATAAACTCCTACTTCTCTCTCTTTTTAGCTGTTTGATTGGGCCAAGACAGAGGACGCCCCAAAGGACAGACTGTTGACGTTTTACAACTTGGCGGATTGCATTGCCGCAAAACTGAAAGGGCTCTTTACTCTGTTCGCCGGCCACTTGGTGAAGCCTTTTGCTGACACCTTGAACCAGGTGAACATCTCCAAAACAGGTTGGTAGCTGACTCCAGCTCGTTGACACCTTGCTCTGTGTGCCTTGCACAAGCTCGGGAAGTACAGTAAGTCTAAAGGGTGGGTGTTTCATGCTGTAGTCGGTGGTCAGGCCCTGAAGTGTCTGCTAATGGGTCATGAGTTAACTGAAAGGAGGAATCACTTACCCAAGAGCCCACCCACGGTGCCACCCTCATCCTGAGCTTGCTTTCTAGATGGAGGAGGAAATGCCCTCTTGATTGTAGTTCTGTCAATAGTGATTTTGAATGTAAACGTTGGAGATTCAATTGTGACATTTTTTTTCATTTTTACTCTTCCCCCTCTTACAGATGAAGCGTTTTTTGACTCTGAAAATGACCCTGAAAAGTGCTGCTTGCTCTTACAGTTTATCTTGAGCTGTTTACATAAAATCTTCCTTTTTGACACCCAGCACTTTCTAAGTAAAGAGAGAGCAGAAGCCTTGATGATGCCTCTGGTGGACCAGGTAACCAAGTCAGACCATCTTTTAACTTCTCATTTTTTTGTGGATTTAACTTATCTTCATTGGTGGTTTTACTGAGCTCTGCTTTTGAATTTTTCACATGAAAGGCACAAT